CCCCAGTAACTTCTAGGCTCTGGGTCATTTTTATCACCGTTCTGCTCCTTCGCTTGTTTGTTCTTGAGGCAGACTTTTCCTCAGGTTGTGTATCAAGAAAAAATCTTGTAATCAGGCTTTTTGTTTCATCAGTTGGTATGTGCTGGGTGTTTTGTGTGTGTCAGGTGCCTCCTGGCTACTTGTACCTAGATCTCTTCAAGCGTCTCTCTGAGTTCTGGGCTATCTTGATTATAAAGATGAGGAAGCCGAGCCCTGATTTAAAGTAGATTTCTCAGACTCCCAAATGCTCCATTCTGCCTCATCCCTGCAGAAAGGTCTGGATCAGAGTGGGCATCCTGATGTCTTCCTGCTTTGTCTCCCACTTCCTCCCACAGGTGTCTGATAATGTTGTTGGAGCTCTGTGTCACTGGGTTGGAGAATATAGCCACAGACTCACAGAGTGGCCACCTATCCTCCCAGCCTGTGATGGTGGAGAGCAGCCATCCCTACACAGACGACACTACCTCCAGTGGCTCAGTGCGCAAAGCAGGTACTCAGGGCTGGTCCCAGGGAGGAAATGGGGTGGGGGTGCTGCCTGTAGAATAGCTTCATTTTTTTGCCATCACATCAGTGGAAGCAACGAGCATTGTTTTATAGAAAAGCTGCAGAATTGCACAATTCCCTCCTTGGGTATGATTAACTTGCTCTAGAGCACCTCGCAGAACTCAGAGAAACGTTTACTTAAGTTTACTGGTTTATTATAAAGTATAGGCAAAAGGATACAGATGAATAGTCAGATGAAGAGATACACAGGAGGGTGTTCTATAAACGTCTGTGAGATCAAGTTGGTAGGTGGTCTTGTTGAAATCGTCTGTACCTTTACTGATTTTCTACTTGTTCTGTCAGCTGTTGAAAGTTGAGTTTTGAGATCCCAGCTGTAATTGTGAATTTGTCTCCTTTTTACGTTTCTATCAGTGTTTCCTTTGTGTGTATTATGTCTTTGTTATTAGGTGTGCGTATCTTAATTGTTACATATTCCTGATGTTTGACCCATTTTTTACTGTGAAATGCCCCTCTTTGTCTGTATTAACATTTGAGTCTTAAGTTTGTCTCTTGTTATGCACCTTTTAGTTAGATCTTGCTTTTTCTTAATCCAACCTGATAGTCTGTCTTTTGGTTGAGATGCTTAGGCCATTCACATTTAATGTGACTATATGGATGTGGTTGGATTTACATCTCTATGCGTATATTTGGGGATGTTTTTATTTTGCCTTCGTTTTTTGAAAGATAGTTTTGCTGGGTATAGAATTCTTAGTTGATAGAAATTTTTTCCTCTTACCATTTTAAATTAGTCATCCTACTGGTTTCTTGAATTCATTGCTTCTCAGAAGAAGTCATAATCATATTTTGTGTCTTTTTTCCTCTTGTGGCTTTCATGATTTTCTCCTCTTTGGTTTTCAACAGCTTCAGTCTATTGTGTCTGAGATGTGGATCTGTGTTTATCCTACGTGGATCTGTGTTTATCCTACTTGGGATTTGTTAGTTTTGGGAGCTGTAGATTAATATTTTTCATCAAATCTGGGGTTTGGGGCTGTATCTGTTCAGGTACTTTCTCTGCCCCTTTTTTCTCTTCCCTCTTTTTTCTGTGGGGGTGGTGCAGAATTCCCATTATGCACATGTTTGTATACTTAATGTTGTCTACCAGGTATTTAAGTACTTTTTTTTTTTAGTTTTAATTTTTTAGTTGTTTTTTTCTTAAACTTTTTTTATTGAGTTATAGTCATTTTACAATGTTGTGTCAAATTGACTTTATTTTTATTTAGTGATTTTTCTTCTGTTCTCCAGATAGAGAGTAATAGAAGTTGCACAGTCTTAAAATTGTATAGTGATTCTTTTTTTCTGCCATTTCAGAGCTGCTGTTTTGTCCAGCTAGTGAATTTTTCATTTCGGTCATTGTACTTTGCACCCCCAAAACTTTCTTTTAGTGCTTTTTTCATTAAATCATTGTTACCATATTTTCCTTTGTTACCATGTTTTCTCTGGTTTTTTGAACTCTTTGAACATATGTATTACAGCTGCTTTGAAGGTGTTGTCTACTAAATCCAGCATGTGGACCATCAGAGTTAGTTTCTGTTAACTGATTTTCTTCCTGAGGACGGCTCACGCTTTCCAGTGTTTTTGCATAGCTCATAATTTTTTATTGAAAACTGGACATTATTGATTGTGATGTGTCATCTGGATTCTGACCTTTTATTTTAAGACTTTTAAATGTTGCTACAATTCTTTGACTATGTTATATGTTTGTTTTGTAACATATCTGGAATTACTCTTTGAAATCTCCCTACTGATGTCACATACCTACTGATGTCACAGCTTTGCTTTTCTGTTTTCATTTTTGTTTTCTAGCCTGAATTCTAATATTTGCTCTATATCTGCTTGGCATAGCACCCAAGCCTGCTGAATTTTCCCTTCTGTGGATGGATCTCTCTGCATGGGTAGGGCAGGGAAGCCATGGAAGTCAGTGTCCTGGCAGTTTTCCTGTCTGTGTACTCAACTCTTCCTGCACTCTTCATATGCACTGGGTCATCCAAGCCTCCAGGGAGTTCTCACTGAGCCCTTCTCTGCTCTCTGACTTCCAGGATCTTCTTGCTAGATCTCTGGCTAGTTATCAGGTCTGGGATCAGGGTTCCCCGGGCAGGAATGGGAACCGCCTCCAGCCAGGCCCGGTCTGCAGAGCCCTGTAGCCTGGATACTAGCTGTGCTGGATCCCCATACTGGGGCAGTCCTATGGTGACTGGAGCCCAGACTTCCCTGCCCCACCTGCAGGGAGAGGGGTAAGGCAGTCAGCTTGGGAAGGGGTGCACTTGAGTGAGAGGGGGTCCTGAAGTGAGGGGAGACAGGCTGAAGGGTAAGTGGCTGGTCTGAGTGGAATTGACCTAGCTGAGGGGGGCCATCTCAAGATGTTGGGGGTCCTGCAGTGAGACATGAGGGGTGAGCTTGGGGTGTCAGGGCCATAGGTTAGTACCTAGCGGGGTGGAGTGTGTTGGCAGGGGACCTGGGTGTGAGAAGGAGCCTTGGCTTGGGGGTCCGGTCTGTCACTGGGCCTGGCCAGGGGTGGGGACATAGTAACGGGGAGGGGGAGGCGAGCAGGGGGAGTGGGGCTGGAGGTGTGTGGCCTGGTCTGGGCCAGTGGCGGTTCTGGTAGAGTGCCAGGACCTGGTCTGTGGCAGAGTCAGGGCGTTGGGTATGGATACTTGGCAGGGCAGGCAGGGGGGCGGGCAGGGGGATAAGGATATCCTCTTAACGTGAGTTTTATAGTTTGGCTTTTTACATTTTATCTGGAATTTATTTTTGTAAACAGACCAAGAGAGAGATTTATATATTTTTTCCATGTGGATGACTGATGTTCCGCGTGCCATTTTATTGTCCTTTCCTCCCTTATTTTTAATGCCATACACCAAACTCCCAAATATACATAGCTGTTTCTGCGGATTCTGTTCTCTCTTTTTTGGTCATTTTTCTTTCCTTATACTAATACCACAGATTTTAATGAAAACAGTTTTAGAATAAGATTTATTAGTTGAAAGAAAATTCTTCCCTCGTCATTTTTTTTCTTTAAAACCCTTTGGCTGTTCTTGGCCTCTTACTATTTCATATCAATTTAGGAATCACATTGTCACATACCTTTATAAATAATACATTTTCTAGGATTCTGATGAAGAAATGCATTGAATTTATAGATTCATTCCAGGAGAATTGACATTTTATGGTATTTTCACATCCAGGACCATGGTTGCCTTTTAAAACTGCCCTTTGTGCTCTTTGGTGAGGTTTTATCACTTTATATAATATCTTACTTGTCTCTTGCATATTTTCTTAAATTTGTTCCAAGATACTTATACTTCTTGTTAACATTCTAAAGGAAATTTTTTGAAATGACATTTTTTACTGATTACTGTTGGTGCATGTTACTAAGTTCAGCATGTTGTTTTATATCTAGCAATGAGGCTGAAGTGTTTTTTCATTCAGATAGTATCTAGATTTTTATTATAACCATAATATTTTGTGAGAACCATGGTAGTTTTTTTCCTTTCCAACCTTAGGCTTTTTTCAGTCTCCTGTCAGAGGTCTAGGAGCTCTGGGGTTTTATTGAAAAGAGGCAGTGACAGTGTGCACTGTCATTCCTGATTTAAAAGTGAATGTGTCTAACATTTTATATTAAATATGGTTTTTATTGTAGGATTTTGATAGCTTTTTTTTAAATTAAATTACAAAAGTTCCATTCCCAGTTTGAGTTAGAGTGTTTTAAATTGCTTTTACTTTACTCAAGATGTATATTGTTTTTATTTTTCTCAAGAACGGGTGCTGTGCTGCATTTTATCAAATGATTTTTTTCTCTATGGAGATGATCACATATTTTCCTTCTTTGATCTGTTAACCTGTTCATGTGTTATTTGTGCTTCTCTTTTTCCTTAGTAAGAATTATTCTACTTTATTAGTCTTCCCAAAGACTAATTGGGGATTGTTTAAAACCTCTGTTGTTTCTCTGTTGATTCTGTGAAGTTCTTTTCTGTACTTACTTTCTTTGTTTTATCGTAGCTTAATTGGCATTTCTCCTTTATTCCCTGGAAACTTAGTTTATGAATTTTTATTGGGATCCCACAAGCTAATGTGTAGTGGTTTCATTGTCATTTTGTTCTAAATATTTTGTGTATAGTTACACTTGTCAATTTCTGGTGTATATTATTATTGTTTATATATTCATGTTACCTTTTGTGTAGTGGATACACATAATTCAGGCGCACAAACAACTTTTAAAATAAAAAAGTGGAAAAAAAAATGAATGACCCTGGTTCAGTTAGAGTCCCAAATGGGCCACTCCAAGACTAGAAAGTCAAATATTTGCATATTACACTGTAAAGTAGCATACTTCTAGGGTTTGAATTCATGTTTTATTATCCAGGTTTTTTTTCCCATTCTTAATAGACTCTTCTGACTCTGTGAACAAGATTTGTGAAGGTTTGTCATTTCCTTTTTCCTAGATTACTCAGAAGTATCAACTTCATGAAGTCACTGCCTATAACTATTTGAAAAGAAAGGAGATATTCATGGTGCCTTTTTAATAATGCTAGAGGTAAGATTTTACTCTGTCTGCTTTGTCATGTTTCTATCTAGCCCTCTACCCATTTATCAATCCCATCTTTTTTATTTGATGTATAAAACTGTAAGTTTTCATCATTCCATCTCAATTTCTTATGTCTCTAAGTTGCAGACAGTAGTACATTTTATCTGTAAATATTTCTATCACATGTGCCATTGACTGGAGTTGCTTTCTTTGTGGCATTTTTTTGAGGTAAAATAACCATACGCAATGCACAAGTTTTAATTGTGGTATTTATTGAGTTTTAACAAATGCATACGTCTGTGTAACTCTAGTCCCCAACAAAATAGAGAACATTACCTTCAACCCAGAAAGTTCCTTCATAGTCAGTCCCCACTTCCATCCCCCAGAGATAACCACACTTCTGATTTTTTTTCCATTGTTGATGAGTTTTGCCTGTTTTATTCATTCATATTAATGGAATCATTCAGTAGCTACTCTAGTATAATTCTCCTTTCACTCAGCATAATGTTTTTGAGGCTTATCTCTCTCACTGCACATGTCAGTCCTTGTGCCTATTACTGCTGAGCACTGTTTAACTGTAGGAAGACACCACCGCTTAGCCATTCTCCTGTTGACTGACACCTGGGCTTGTTCTAGTTTTTGACTGTTACAAGTACAGTTGCTGTGACCACTCTTGTACTGAAATGCTCTCCTTTCCCTGGAGTCACTACCAAGGAGTGGGGCTGGGATATCGCAGGGTAGGCATCGGTTTAGTTTTGAAAGCAATTAGCAGGCATTTTTCCAAGGTGATTGTGGCATTTCACGTTCCATCAGTGATGTACGAGAGTTGTGGTTGCTCCACATTTCTCACCAGCAGTTGGTGTCCTATTGGTTTTTCAAAATTTTTTTCTATTCTTTTAATTGTTGTAAAATAACAAAATTTATTACCATTTCAGTGGCATTAAGTACATTCACATTGTTCTGCAGCCATCACCACCTTTCATCTCCAGATCTTTTTGAACTTCCCAAACTTGTTAGGTAATTATTCCCATTCTTCCATGCCCCTGGCAACCACCATTCTACTTTAGACTCTATGTATTTGATTACTCTAGATACTTCATATGAGAGGAATCAAACAGCATTTGTATTTTTTTTTTTTGGTGATGATAGATAATTAAGTTTGTTTATTTTTAGAGAACGTCCTGGGGATTGAACCCAGGACCTTGTATACGCTAGGCATGCGCTCTACCACTGGGCTATACCCTCCCCAGTATTTGTCCTCTTTGTCTCTAGCTTACTGCACTTAAACCATAACATCTTCAAGATTTATCCATGTTGTGGCACGTAACAGAATTTCATTCATTTTTTAAAGCTAAGTAATACTCCATTTTATGTATGTACCACATTTGGTTTTTCCATTCATCCATCCATGGACACTTGGGTTGCTTCCACCTTTTGACTCTTGTGAATAATGCTGCTATGAACATGAGTGTGCAAATATCTTTTTGAGTCCTTACTTTCAATTCGTCAGGATATATACTGAGAAATGATACTGCTGGATTAAATGGTAATTCCATTTTTAATTGTCTCAGGGACCACCGTACCATTTTCCATAATGGCTGTATCACTTTACATTCTCACCGATAGTGCACCAGGGTTTCAGCTTCTCCACATCCTCACCAACACATGTTGTTTCCTGTTTTCTTGATGGTAGCCATTGTCATGGGTGTGAAGCGTTATGTATCAGTTTTTAAACATTGTCACCTAGCTAGGAATAGATTAGGGATGTCTTATTTTTAATTTAAGAAAATGGTTCATATTGGCTTCCTGTTTTTTTCTAGCCATATGATTTTGAAACAGGCCAGGAACACTATTCCACAGAGCATTTGTGTAGGCTCTTACCCTCTTTTAGTCTCTGCATTACCCTGACATCTCTTTTTTCCTTTGTAATTTATTTGTTGATGACATCATGAACCTAATTTTAAAGGGTAAGTAAAAGTACTCTTGGCATGGATAGGGAGTGGAGAAGCTGGAGATCCTCCCAGGGAATGAGATGACCATTTGCAAAGGCATAGGAATATGAAGAAATACAAGCTTGTAGGAGGGGAACCAGCAGCCTTATGGGGGCACAACTGTCCATGTATAGGCAGGTCAGGCTAGAGACTAAAGTTAGGTCCAGATTTGGAAAGATTTTGTAAGACATACTGTAAAAGAATTAGAACTGGTAATGATTTCACACAGGATCAACTGAAGGTTTTTAAACAAGTAACTGATGTGATACTGTGTTTCATAAAGACTGCTCTGTGGACCCTAGGAGGATCTATGAGAGGAAGGTGGAGAAGGGGGAGGGAACACCAGAAGCAGAGAGCACTTGGGGGCATACTGCAGTAGTACAGGTGTGACTCAGTGAGGACATGAACTGGGTGTGGCAGTTGTCGTGAAGTGAGAGGAGGTGGATTTGAGAACTTACTGATCATTTGAATGGGATACGGGGTGAAGGAGAGGGGGTTAATGATGACTCTGAACTTTAGCTTAACATGAGCCTGTGAGGAACCTCAGGGAAAGGAGCAGATTTGGGTAGAAGGGATAGATAAAGATCAGCTTCAGCTTGTATTAAGAAGCCTTTGGAACACCAGTTAAGGGTCTGTAAGAATCCAGAATTCAGCAGAGTAGAGGATCCTGCAGCTGTGTGTTGAGGAGAGGCCACACCCAAGGCTGTGCACTACGCTGTTGCGATAGACTTGTCATGTCCTTTTTATTCCCAAACATCCCTCTTTCTCATAACCCAGTATGAATTTTATTCCCTTACTGTAAGTTTGGGTTAATCCTAATCTTCATTGCTTTGCCTAAAGAATGTCATTATTGACTCTGTGGTGGTACAACGGAAGTGAAAGTGGGGCACAATTGGTGATATTTGGTATTTTGAATCTGTTCCAGTGCAACTAGTGATGCTTTCTGTATACAGAGTGAGTCTCATCTAAATGACAGAGATCACTCTTAATAACTTTGTTGTTTCTTGGGTTTTATCTTTAAAATATGTTAATTCAGATATTGGTGGATTAGAGATATAAAGTGTTCCTTTTTCCTCCTAGAGACTGCAAAGCAAGCTTCCAGAGAGAACACATCAAGATGAACGTAAGTTCTTGAGTATAATTGACAATTTGTTTTTCCATGGACCCTATGTTTTAAAAAATATTAAATGATAACTGTATATATTAAACAGTAATTACATTGACTTGCATAATTACTGTTTATCCACTTTAATAGTGATCCCAATTTTGTCTTTGTTTTCAAGGGCTTCTAGTAGGAAGTGAAAGAAACTGTTGTGATTTTGTGCTGCTAATTGTCAAGAAAGGTCATTGTACAGGAACTTAGGTGCTCTTCATTGATCCTGATGAATTTTTTGGCTGCTTTTGTACTTGCATTTTGGTTATTATAAATGAAGTACATACTAACACCGTAAAAATTACTATAATGTGCTGAACAACAGCAAAGTGGGCTTCTAATCAGTAAGTAGTAGCCAGTTTTTCTGTATTGAATTTATATAATTTTAGCACAATGCAGCAAAACTTGACAGTTTAGAATTTTAAATATCTTTGTCACAGATACATAATTTCCATGACATTCCTTGGTAGTAAAAATTATTTATTTTATAAAATTGTGGTACAATATACATAACATAAAATTCACTATTATAACCATTGTTAAATACTCGGTTCAGTGGCAATAAATATATTCACATTGTTGTGCAGTCTACCACCATCCATCGCCAGAACCATTTCAGCTTCCCAAACTAAAACTCTGTATCCATTAGACAGTTACTCCCTATCCATCCTCCTGACCCAGCCCCATTAACCATTCTCCTTTCTGAATTTGATTATTCTATGTATCTTGTATAAGTGGAATCAAGCCATATTTGTTGTTTTTTGTCTAGCTTATTACATTTAGTATTACGTTTTCAAGATTGATCCATGTTGTGGCACATGTCAGAATTTCATCCTTTTTGTTTTTTTAAGTGGAAAGATAGCCAGTTTACAGTATTGTGTCAATTTCTGGTATATAGCATAATGTTTCAGTCATACATACACATACATAGATTATTTTTCATATTCTTTTTCATTATAGATTACTACAAGATACTGAATATAGCTCACTGTGCTATACAGAGGAAACTTGATATTTATTCTATATATCGAGTAGTTAGTATCTGCAAGTCTCAGACTCCCAATTTATCCCTTCCCACCCCTTTTCCCCCTTGGCAACCATAAATGTGTTTTCTGTCTGTGAGTCTTTTTCTGTTTCGTAAATAAGTTAATTTTTGTAAATGAATTTCATTCATTTTTAAGGTTAAATAGTAATCAATTTTATGTATATACCACATTTTGTTTATCCATTCATTCATCCATCCATGGGTTACTTCCATCTTCTGACTATAGTGAATAATGCTGTTAGGAACATGAATGTGCAAATATCTTTTTGAGTCCCTGCTGTCAATTCTTCTGGGTATACACCAAGAAGTGAGATTGCTGGATTAAGTGGTAATTCTATTTTTAATTTTTAAAGGAACCACTGTATCATTTTCCATAATGGTGTATCATTTTACATTCTCGCCAGCAGTGCACAAAGTGTTGCAAGGCTCTACGTCTTCACTGACACTTGTCATAGTCTATTTTCTTGATAGTACCCAGCCTAATGGGTATGCGGTAGCATCTCAGTGTAGTTTTGATAGGCATTTCCCTAATGATTAGTGATGCTGAGCATCTTTTCTTGGCCTTATTGGCCATTTGTGTGTTGTCTTTGGAGAAATGTCCATTAAAATCCTTTGCCCATTTTTGAATTGGATTGTTTTGGATTGTTTTCCTATGACTTGATGTTTTCAAATAGCCCTCCTGAGGTTCAGAGAATCACTTCGTAGGTGATTTTTAGATTGTTTTACTCTTTTAACACACTGATACATTTCTTGGACTCCTTAGCCCACATATTCCTTTAAACACCTTTACCCTAATTCTGTGTAGATTATTTGTTTTTGGAACTTCCATAAACACTTGGTTGGCTTTTTCATATTTAGTTCAGCTAAACCTTAATTAATATTTTTGTATTGTCAGTATGTGTTCAATTTGGCTGTTAGATTTGTTGCATTTATTGCATTTTTATTTTTTCAATTTATTGTTATGAAAGTAATTTCTGCAGACTTTACATGAAAGATTGAGGGAAAAGTAGGAAGAGAGCTTCCCCAAGATCACTATAGTGATTTGTGGGTGATGTGTCTGGAGAAGTCAGTTTGTTCAATTCCAGTGAAGATAAATTTCTCAGTAATAGTCTTGTAATTACCATTTACTGTCAGATCCAATTCTGACTGTAGACTTAAGAGTTCTGGAGTATTTGCTAATTACAGGGCACTGTCCTAGTTCCTAAGGGTTACACACAGATGGCTAAAACACAGTCATCACCCAAAGAACTGCAGTCTCTTGAAGGAGACAGGTAATGTAAATTAAAACTTCTAATGCAGGTAGAATTGTGTTTCACAAAAAGGTCAGTGAGAGTGGCAAAGGATTATAGGG